AGAGGAATTTTGGGAAAGTTGATGTTTTTATTTTAAAGTCATGTATGTCTTTTATTTATTTATTTATAAATCTTTGACTTCGCTCCAACACACTATTTAATAAAAGAAGTTATTATTGATTAAAATTCAAATTTTCGTATTATAATTCATTATATAAGAATTGATTTTTTTAATAAATTTAAACCTAAAATTGTATTTAAACTTATTACAAACATTATTCAAATTTTGTCTAAGTTTTGTGACAAAGGGAATGCTACTATGCACATTGTTTTTTTTTTTTTTGCATTTGATGGGTTTAGTTTAAAAGTCATTCTATTTATAAATCTTACTACCTTGATTTTGATCATCATCAAACTTATATATCCATTAAAAACAATAATTAAGTTCATTTAATACTTTTATTTTCATATAATAAAAATGTATTTCTTCTAAATTATTCTTATACTTAAGCATAACATTTTTTATTTAAGATAATATTTATGAAATTATAACTTCAGATAAGATGTGAGGTATTAAAATATATTTATATTTAAGGAAATTAAATATCACTGTTTTCTTATATTTAAATCAAATGGAGTAATTCATATTAAGAAAGTTTATTCAAAATTTTGTAAATTTTGATAAAATTTAATCAATAATAATTAATATGTTAAAAAGTTTCTCCATACTGTAATGCTCATCCTTTTATTCCATTCTTATTGTTTTGTTCAATCTCTCTTTTTAGTAAGTTGAGTTTTTATGTAGCTTCTGAACTAGTTTTACTAAACACTCCCTTTTTACGTTACCAATATTCTACTCTAGAATTATTCTTGAAAATTAAAAAAACATGCATCTCGAAAATGAATCTTCATGGGAACTATGCTCATTTAATGTTGCGTAAAAGGTCTCATGTTTTTTCTTCTACCGTGGTAAGATGTCTGTTCCTTTAACCATATTTTATTGTATTCAAAGTCTTTGATTTGAACAAACCAAACGACAGGTTTCTCAGCTTCAGTTTCCACTTTCACAGTCTCATCTTCCGAGGGTTGAAGTTATTTAATTAAACCCTATCTGTAACAATTAGTTACTAATTTACCTTTCTACCTCTGAACTCACGTCTTAAAATAAATTTATTTTTAAAGTGACATTTAGCCATTAGAGATATTTATCAATTATAATTGAATAATGTTATTGGATCGATATTACTAAAAAGAGTTTAAATAGTTAAAATTTAATTATATTAGTTCATTAAACTTTTATTTTTATAATTGCTGTAGAGAAAAGGAATTTAAATCTTATGAGAGTTTGAAATAGAAGCTAAAAAAGGTATATGCTTGCTTATATTCTATTTCACCTCACTCCTTACACAGTAATTTTTGAAAATAAAAACCTCACACATATATAGGAGACAGTCATGCCATGGAAAAGAGCTATTTGCGTATGAAAAGGAAACTTCGAATCATGTGAGGCAATTAATGCAAGAAAAACTTAGGGTTTCTACCATACTAGCTAGACTACTACGACTTTCAACAGTAATCTCCATCGAAATGAGCTTCATTTATAATAATCCCTACAACTTAATTACATGTCAGGAATCTCATTAATAGCTTTGTGGGGGTTCTGTGTTTTCTTTGCTTTTTCAACTAATATTCACATTTCTGCCATCATTTCTTTATTCGAAATTGATTATTATTACTATTATTATTCAAACAAAGTGATTATAGTTGTAAATATATGACTGCACACAGCAAGAAATGAGCTGTGTACGATGAAATTACATATATTAATTTTAGCACATACCAAAATGTCTGTCTTATCGCTCTTGCAGAAAAGTTATCTAACTAAAGTATATAGTAAACGAATTCGATTATTAACCTATACATATACACCCACATATTCACAAAGTTGTTAGACATTATAAGAATAGCTTATTCAATTGGAAATTTGAAATTAATTGACTATAACCTAATACGTATTTGTCACATGTAGATAGACATTGAATTATATTCTTGGTTTGTAACTATAGAAACGGTTCACGAGACGAATCTCTTCCACCCAATTTGTGATCTGAGAAAAATGTGTTATATCATGGTTGTATATATATATAATTTTCGAAGTTGTTGTTTGTGTGATCTTAGAAGATGCAGTAAACGTTCAACGATCATCATTATATATGTTATGATTTGGATTCCATAGATATTCAGAGGAGAAAACAAAAACATCCTTATGCGATGTTTTTTTTTTCTATCAAATCTTATTTTACAATTTTTCTTTTTGAAAATTTAAAGTCATGTTCTATTTGAAATATAAAGATTGATATTTGTTGCCACTTGTGTATATTATGGTGTCATTCGTGGGTCACTGCATGGTGTTGTTATAGTGAATAGCAGTGGTGTTGATAAGATAAGATTATAATGTTAGAGAATTGATAATGAGTGCATGTGAATTGATGTTTTTTTCTTTATGTGTTAACAAACATTCATGTGCTTAAAACCTTCACAAATGTTAGCAAAGACTAGGTGGTGTGTTTTTGACTCAACACAAGTAAAGAAAGTAGGTATAAGCCTTATTCAATATGAAATACGTGTGAGCCATATTGTCAACTTGGTGCTCACAATCCACAACTTTTATTTGGCAGGGTGTTAATGATAGTTGTTGATTTTGTTCTCTCTCCCTCCTTTGGGACCCAAATCACCTTAACATATAGTCACCATTTTGTTTGCTAGCTATAAGCTATGTACTGCCAACTTGGCTGCCACAATATCCATAAATCTTCTATTACTTTCTATTTGTTCAGTTTTATCTTTAAAAAATGTATTTTTTTTAAGAAAAGACTAAAAATGTTTAAATTGTTTTAAATCTCAACTTCTAAGTGATCTATTAGGTGTGGTAATTACTAAAAGAGTAAGATAAATTGCTGGACTTTTAAATTTTCCTACAAATATTTGGGTATTTAAATCTACTGATGTTTTGAAAACAATAAATGTTTATTCAATTTATGTAATCTTTAATGTAACTTAAAATTTAAACCTTTTTAATATTATTTATATATTTAATTATAATGTTTGTGTAATAAAAACATTAATGTACCATTTTGTTTTATTTTGTTATTGTAATCTTAATGTTACATTTATATTTTATGGGAGCATATGCTGGAAAAAAAATTACTAGAAAAATAATTAAGTTTAAATATTTAATCAGGCATTAAAGAAATGTATTCATATGATTTAATTATTTTTTTTTCTATTTTGTGATTATAAAATTTGATGGATTTATGGATATACAGAAGGAACGGATAATAAATAATAAATTGTGAAATAAAATAATGATAACTATGAAACCTCTTATCCTCTCATTACTCTCCACCACAGCATTTTCATTTTGATACCAATTATGGATTAGTCTTTTTTTCTTTTTTTTTCAAAGACCTAGTATTAATATATAATATCAGACCAAAATTTGAAATTTTGCATCAAATCCACACTTTGGTTATTTTACATGTGTAACTATAAAAATATTTTCTTGCTCAATAATCATATTTATTAGGAATTAAGAACTCTAATAATTATGATTCTTACAATTATTAAAATTTTGTACTTGATTATATATATATATATATATATATATATATATATATATAATATTTCTGAAAATTAGTGAGTAAATTGTTATTTAATCTGTTATTAGATAACATGATTAAAAAGAGTAATATAATATTCTTTTCATAAAAAATATTTAAATTTTAAAAAATTAGATTGACATATCTTTAAGAAATTTTTTATGAATAATTTGATAAAATGTATTTTTAGAAGATATTAGTTTCTAAAGAATATATATTTTACTCTTAAATTCTCTCATATTCGTTTATTCCTTCTCTTTCCAATTCTTCTACTTAATAGCCTGGGATAATAAAACTCATATTTTTGATAAATTACAATTTGTTCATGGATAAGGTAAAGACAATTTTATATATATATATATATATATATATATATATATATATANAAAAATATTTAAATTTTAAAAAATTAGATTGACATATCTTTAAGAAATTTTTTATGAATAATTTGATAAAATGTATTTTTAGAAGATATTAGTTTCTAAAGAATATATATTTTACTCTTAAATTCTCTCATATTCGTTTATTCCTTCTCTTTCCAATTCTTCTACTTAATAGCCTGGGATAATAAAACTCATATTTTTGATAAATTACAATTTGTTCATGGATAAGGTAAAGACAATTTTATATATATATATATATATATATATATATATATATAAAGATTGGTCACTTTTAACTGGCTGGCACAACATTTCCATGATAAGACAACTTTTTTTCTTCCAATTAACTTCAATCAATCTTAAGTAAAAAAATAAGTTTCAAATCAGAAAATTATATATTAGCTGTATTTTAATAGTATAATTTAAACAAAATAATGCAGTTCATTGTAAAAAATTGTTTAGATAAATCTATCCATCAACACTTTAGAAATAAAAAAGATAAAAACATCTCGTTATAAATTATCATCACTACTTTATGTATAAATTAATTTATAAATTGTGAAAAATTATTTCATATTTTATATAAATTCTTACTATAAAAAAAAATCTATACCAAATTGAAATATATTATCACACACGCTTCCTAAATTTCAAAATATGAATTCTTCTCAGAATATTGACAAATTTGTCCGGGTATGAAATCAACTAAAACAAAAAGATAGAAGCGAAAAAGTTTCTGGTTATATGTTTCTTTTAATACGAGTGTGTCATATATTTATTTGAATGTCTAAATTGACAATTGTTTTTTATTTAAAAATTTTAAAATTTGGTGAATCACTTACTCTTTATTTAAATATAAAATAAAAAAATTTAGTAATTGATTGCAATTGATACTTTATATAATTATATAATTATATAATTATATAATACTTAACTGATTTTGTAGCAGGTTCCTTGCAAACCTCAACCCCTGTATCCATTATAAATACACCAATGTTTTCAATCTCACTCTCATTATATGCACCTTTTGTATCTGTGCTCCATTGTCTTCCTCTGTCTTCAGTTCATTCCTTTCTTTCCTTATTGTTCAAACACAATTAATTCCCTTTTTTCTTAGTCTTTTTTAAAAAAAAATGGGTGGAAATTCTCCTTGTGCCTCATGCAAACTGTTGAGACGCAGGTGCACGAAAGATTGCATCTTTGCTCCTTATTTTCCTTCTGAAGAACCTCAAAAGTTTGCCATAGTTCACAAAGTTTTTGGTGCTAGCAATGTTAGCAAAATGTTGCAGGTATTTCTTTCTTACTCTTCTTTTTGCATTCCTTTAAAAAACCCTTTTTTGATACCTAATCAATTCATTTCAGAATAAAGAAGTTTGAATATAGGAGATTCAAGTACTATTTGCTAATACAACTTAAAAAAATATGATCTTTATCTGTTCTTTGGAGTTGTCTGTGGTGAAAAGTTTTTCAGAAGATTCACAGAGTGTTCTAAATGGTTGGTTCTTATAAAATGTTTCAGGAACTTCCAGTTCAGCAGAGAACAGATGCAGTGAGTAGTTTAGTGTATGAAGCAAGTGCAAGAGTGAGAGATCCTGTGTATGGTTGTGTTGGAGCCATATCTTATTTGCAAAATCAAGTTGCTGATCTTCAAATGCAACTTGCAGTTGCTCAAGCAGAGATACTCTGTCTTCAGATGGAAAATGAATCACTGATACCAATCTCAGAAACTGATCTACACCAGAAGTCTTATCTTCTTCAGAATAATTTCTCTCAGTTACTTGACTTTAACACTTCCAACAGTGTAGTTCAATATTCCCCTAATCATCTTACACAATGAAATTATTTCTGGAATGAAAATTGTTCAAATGTTTGTTTGTTTGTCTTTTCTGTGTATTTTGGAGACATTTTTGGGGACTAAAGTTGACTCTAGTACTTAATTTTTATATTAAGTTGTTAATGCATCAGGTAAAGACAAAGTGGGTGGTGGCTTGTAAAACTGGCAGACATTCTCATCATTTTATATACAGAAGCTACCTTACTATCTGAAAACAAAACCAAACTTCTAATATACATCAAAACCTTTTGTTTTTCTAATTAGAAGCATTCAGGTTTCTTTAGATGGAAAGAGTTGCACAGGAATCATTTTAGAAGAATCATTTTAGAAGAAAGAATCTTTGATTATTTAATTTATTTTTAATATTCTACATGTGCCTAGTAATTTATGTTTTGTCATACTGACTTTGGGAAGTGGAAGAAAGAAGATAGAAAGAAGATAGAGATAGAAGGAAGGACAGTGATCTATTAGGGGGGAAAATGTTCTACCTGATTTTGTTTTTCTAATAAAATCGAACGAAAAGACTTTGAAATATATTATGAAAAATAATCTATAAATAGTGCATATAGTAAAATACTTTTTATTGAATAATGGATTATAAAATATTTGATATTTTTTAAACTTTACTTTTATTATAAAAATAATATTTGTTTATTATAATTTTAAATAAAAATTTAAATATATCTTTTATTTTTTTTATTTAATCATACTTTATTTTATTATTTTAATCATAACATACTCTCTCTCTCTCTCTCTCTCTCTCTATATATATATTATATATATATATATATAGATATATATATATATATATATAATATATATATATATCTTATATATATAATATTAAGGCTTCAAAAATAATAAACATATGAACATTTTAGATCATTTATATTTGGTTGGGTGTCATGATCAGTACCATAATTTTTTTAAGTTAAGTTAAATTAATATTTATTTATTTCTTAATTAGTTATATAAACAAGAGGATGTTTTACTTCATAATTTCATTAACATTTGAGTATTTTTAATTAATACTAAACATATTAATATTTGTAAATTACTGTGATTTATATATAACAAAGATTAATTTGATTATCATTAAAGTATTTTTTTCAATTTAATTAGTTTTATATAATATTTTTAAATTTTATAATGTTGAAAACATCATTATCATTACATAGTTTACTTACAACTTATACATTCAATTTTTTTTAATTAATTTTGTTTATTGATTTAGGAAATTATACCTTATACACTAAAGAGTTAGATTTGACTTATAATATACTTGAGTTAGGGAAGCAAGTGCTACTTTTAAAGCTTGAGTAAGGTAAGCAACTTTATAGTAAAGAATTTTTACTCTTAAGTAAGGGAAACAAGTGTTACTTTTATACTTTTATGGTTTGATTGATCTGCATTGAAGATTTCCAATAAATTGCATGATGGTTTGAGTTGAATTTAGATATTATGTGCATACATTTATGATCTTGGTTGAATTGGTTTGAAATTATATTGTAATGGTGAAATTGAAATGATAAACTCTTATGGTGTATTATATTGGTCAATTTAGTCAATGCATTTTAAACTTATATTTACGTTTTTTATGAACCAATGTGTAAGAGTAATAAGATTAGTCAAATTGACAATTTGATATGCCAATGAGGTTTATGATTTTTGCATTAGCATTTGGCATCATAGGTAAATTTGATTCCAATGAGCTCGAAAGGTATTACCATTGGGTGTCACTCGTGCACCTTTGGGTGCTACATGAGAATTTAAATTCAAGAAGCTCCAATGATCGTGGCTTGGACATTTGGATGTTGAATGTGAGGCTTGAGCTGTTAGACACTATTCTAAAGTGCCGAACACTAATAAAGGGGGTACTAGATGCTAGTCGGAACATAACTCTTTGTATTGTTATGTTGAGTAAACTTGATTGAAGTTGGGCAAGCCTTGTTTATGGTTAGGGTTCGTTAGGCAATAAAGAAATTCATTAGACAAGTATCTCATGGTTGAATGATATGTTATAATGGAATATGAGATTTCATTAGTGATTATGATGTTGATTGATTATAATATGGCTTAAATGTGCTAATGATGATTTTTGTGTTAATGATTATGACTTAAATGTTGATGTATGGAATGAAGATGATTTAGTGTTAATGATGAATGTAGATTGCATAGAGAATGAGTTTTTGTGTCATACAAATATTGGATTAATAGTTTTATTTTATGAATGGACATGTTATACCAAGGAGAAGGCACAAATTGTGTTTGAGAGATGACGATGATAAGTTTCCTATTATAGTTTGAGATTGTGATTGTAAAGTATAGATGTGGTTTCAAAAGGTTAAAATATATTAAAACAAGAAAATGATTGGTATAAGAATATTATGTGATTTTATTGACGTGATTTTTTCTAAGACAGAATGTCATATTAGATAATGTAGTGTATGGATTGAGTAGGAGTGCAAGGGTGAAGTTATATCCCAACTCTACTAAACTCAAGACTCAGATAATTAAGTTTAAGTAATGAGAGTTAAAAGTTGTTCCTATAATGAGATTGATGAAGGAATACCATATTGGCGATGTTATAATTTGCTAATTGTCATGAAAGAATGATTTTAAACTTAATAGATATGAGGCAAACATAACATTATATTACAAGGTTAGATGATAGATGCAAGACTTTATGAAATTACTCATACTCTAAATAATATAATATATATTATATATATATATATAATATATATTATATATAGATATATAAATTATATATATGACTGTATATTGTTTTAATAATATTTTGTTTTAATTGTATAATCATACTATAGTGAGGTTGAATGGGCCAGTTTATTTCATTTATTTCATTTATTTAATATTTTTTACAAAATTCTATTGAACTTTCAAAAGTTACACTTAGATTTTATTATTTTTAATAAACATTCTCTTTTATATCTTTTAATTTAACAAAATATATGTATTTTTACATTACAATATAAAATTTTAAATACACATTATTATCATAATCATCATCATTATTATTACATGTTTAAATTTTAAATCTGCTAGTTACTTGAAGAAAAGTACAATAGTAACAAATAACTTAATATAATAAAAAATGATTCAATTATATCAACTATTTCTAAACATACTATAAATTATACTATATATATATATAATATATATAGTATATCTATAGATATCTATCTACTATATTAAAAGCAAGATAAAATAAAAATTAATATCTTAACATTATATTTAGTTATATATATTTCCTTCTATTTATATTTGTTAATGTTATAATGTAACATTCCAAAAATACAGTAACATACCATATAATAGAATAATTACAATTAGTAATATTTCAGTTCAATTTTGTACTAAGAGAACGTACGCGCATGGCCGAACGGCCTTACAGAAAGAGTTACTATGATAGGACAAAACATAAGTAACAAGTATGACCGATCGGTTGTACAAACCAAGTACCGAACGGTATACATACAAGGAGGAGAAAGAGGTGAGCGACTGCCTATTAAAAAAAACTACTTCTACTGACCGACGTACTATGGTTTCGATCTTAACTTCAAGGTCACCAAATTTCTTCTTCCAGAGTATCTTCTAACAGCGCGTCTCCTTCTGCTCACACCCACACGGATGATCATTGCAACGACAAGACGAACGTACAAGACGAGACAACACAAGGGAAACCATTGGGAGGATACACTTATATATTTATTCATGCATCAACATATATTTTAAACAATCCAACACACAAGAGAATGTCAACATACGTATCATACCAAGCCTATCACTAGACTGACCGTCCAGACTGTATGACATCTGTGTAGCTACAACGTTCGTGCACCCGGGTGGTGTAGTAACTAGGATACACTCAACAGTTGCCACCCGAGGTTAGCCCTATCTGTCCAAAGTACCCCTAAGGACTAGACCTCCTGCCGTTTCCATCACACATTACTGTACCCTCCTTACCTTAGGACGAGTACTCACGGAACATCAGGATGAATCGACAGCTTAGCATTACCACAGTCATACTTTACCAATTCCAATATTCACTCAGGAGTCGTCCCTCCCTGGAACGCTCGTTCATATTCCACATCATTGTATACGTCTCATATACTTTTCATCATTCATTACTCATCATTTTTAATTTCATCTTATTACAATTTCTAATAACTTCAAATACCGAACGTTCAGTCCTCACCCAGAATGAGGATTGAACACTAAGAACGAGACCGAGAAGTCTCCCGTTCCAGATTTGAATAAGACCAAAAAGGGTTACTAATAGATTTAGGAATAAACCAAGTACAATCATATACCATATGACGAACGTTATTTACAACGTGAATCAGTTGAATGAACTGACTCTCGTGAGTTCAAACTCATACTCAAACCATAAATCGAGTAAAGGGCTCTAGGCCGGATCCCATGAAAGTAGACACGACAAAACGTTAAATAACCATATTTAGAATCATTCATATACAGAAACCGAATGCCAGTCAAAGACCTAACACGGTAAAGGAAATTCTACTGATATTGGACGAACGCTATTTCATCAAGATTGATTTTTACAATAAATGAGTACTAGCGCTAGGTGTAAAACGCGAGCACGTAATAAACTTCTAATAAAAGGTTTGATAAATCTTTTAAGTTACTATTGCAGTGGTGTTTTTACGAACGACAATAATATACAATTACATATATATATATGTTGGGTTTATCACAGTAGAATCAAGTATAACTATGTTTGGCCGAACGCTCAAGCATAGTATTACCCCACGAGGGCGCTCGTCCTACACTACGATTCTCTCCAAATGAAAGAACCCCTTTTTAACTATGTTCACCAGGAAAACCGAACGGTCAATGACCGTTCAGTGACGAACGTACTTTATCATAGTGAAATTTTCATATCCAGAATCCATTTACATTCAAACTCATTTCTTAACTTATAACTTCATAATTTCATACATTCATATCCTAGAACATTTCATATTCCTCATACATCAGCTCATAATCATTATCATATATCAAACAATCAAATATCACAAAGTAATGCTTCATACAACTCACAGAACGCCCATGCAACACAATAAAACATACGAATTAAATTGAATAAGCTTCCCTTACCTCTAGTGTGAACAGACGTTCTACAGACCGCAACTCGGTTTGCCAAACTAAGATTCCTTCTACCCTCAACGC